CATTGAAGAAAATGTAAACGGATCCTTTGCGCTCAAGCCCTTTCCAACCCTCTACCAATTTGAAAAAACAATTGTGTGCTGTAACATTTTAAACACTTTGCCTTTACTTCCAACTTCCTTCCTTCCTCCCTTCCTCTCTCCTTTCTTCTCTCCTCTCCTCCACCCCTACCGACCCTCCCTCGCTCCCCCTTCTCTAGCAGCCGCCCCAACCAGAGGATGTGCCCCCGCGGCCCAAATCTGGTAACGTTCAGCAAAGGCTGCAAACCCTTCGGATTGCCACGCGCTTTTACTGCGCCATGAAACACGTAAGAGATGTAAGGAACCAGGGCTCATATATATACCAGGCATGATCTATTAAAACAATCTTTTTTTATTATTATTTACTGTACGGCCGAGCATTTTCGTTTCCTCGTCCTCTCCAAGCTGTTATTTAACGTCCATATTTTGCACACTCTCCATCCATCGACAGTCACCTTTTGCTCAGCAAGTTCGGTTTAAGTTTGTTTTTGTTTCCACCATTCACTCAACGGCACTGACATGTTTGTGAAACACTGGAGGGCAAGAAGTGAAGCAGTGAGGTGGCAGCGTGAATGGGAAGGACACTGCTGAAATAATTCAGGAACCAGAGTTGGAGAGAGAAAGTACATACTTACATTCCTGGAAAGTCACATTATTTCAGAGGGGGAACTTCCTTGCTTTGTTGCTATTTCTAATTCCAAGTTTAAAACTGAAACTAGGTAAGTTACACAGAAGTCTTCTATGTTCTGTAGTGGATAAGCAGACAGCATTGATCACAGCAGTGTATGAAGTCATCAAATCACTGAAATGGTAAACAATATGTTCCCAAGCCGTTGTAAAGCCTGTGATAAAGGAACAACACGGTGCATCCCATTGCAGCTGAAACACTTTCTATAATGAAAGTGTATTGAGCAGTAAATGAGCTGGTGTTTCCCCAGGTTTGTTTCTAATATGACTCTGGCCAGTTTTCTTATTTTAAATATATAAAGGCCTCCCGAGATAATGAGCATATTTAGAATCGGCATGGCAGTAATCCTTGAAATGCCAATTACCTCTGTCTCTAGTTTTCGGGGAACATTGCCTATTCTATCAAAAAAGTCTAGTTTCTAAATGGGTTTTTTGTATGTTGCTTTTAATAAAGGGACACAAATAGTTTGTTTATCAAAGCGAATAGTTGACACCATCTCGATGCAAACTATTTGCAGCGTACATTACGTTTCGGTGTTGCAGAAATCCTGCCATCACTTTGTTCTTCGGAGACGGCGTGAAATCAACATGGCCAGCTGGCAGGAAGCAGAAAATACATTCTACTATTGTTTTTAAGGTCTGAGAGAATTCACCTGTCACACAGCTTTACAGTACAACCCGCATCAACTACCCACCCTCTCTTCCTGACTCTAATATATCTTTCTGTTTTTCTACTTACTACCTCAGCGTAGTGCACAACTCAAGAGTCAGACACATGTTATTACTCTCATAGAAACCTCTGCATGACTGGGATAAAGACTTAATGAACCGGTCTGACTCTGTAAATAAAGTTGAGATGGATGAATGTAAGAGATGATTTGGTGACAGACCTGCAAAGAACTTTAACCGTGATGTTCACTCTCTTCTCAGCCTTATGTTGCGTCCTCATTCACTTTTTATGTTGCATCTGTATTCAGTCGAGCAAGTTGTCCATCCCATATTTCTTGCCAATTGGAGGTCCATGTCTGTTAAAATATGTGCTCAAATGTCCTATTTGTGAGATGTATTACCATCTGTGTGAAGGTGTAAATGTATGTGTGTGTCTGTGTGTGTTGTCTAAGCTCATTGTAGTGCTGCTGCTCTTCTCCTGCTGCTGTAGAGAGACTGTAGCAGCTGATCTGCTGCTGCTCCTCATGTCCTGCTCTCCTTCTCCTCAGCCAATCAGAACTAGGCCCCGTCCCTCCTCACATAACACCTCCTCCCCGTACTGGTCAGAGAGACATTAATCCCAGTAGAGCGACTCCTAAATAGGAAACTCCTTCGTTCCGCTGAATAGAGGGAATGTAGAGAGTTATAGAAGTAGTTTATACTAGATGCAATCCACAGTTAAGTTTCCGAGAAGCATCTTAAATGACGGGGTGCTTTTGGGAGAGCAGCCAACAAGGACGTTTCATGGCTTTGAGTTGGACGTCCTTTTTTTTTTGCATGACACAAAGAGTGTGGATCCACCACATGCATCAATAACGCTTTCATGACTTCTGTGCAATGTGCAAACAAAATGACATGTGCCCTTTTGTTTACCTTTTAATGAAAACAATGAGAATATACGCAAATAAGTGCATGAGGTGGATCTGGACCCTGCTGTGAGCATGCTGCATGTACAGTGGATCACAGACGGCCTGTACTTTGTCAGACAACTCATTTTACAAGTTATATGTGTTGTCTTTGGCAAGAGGGGCTTATCTGAAAAAACACAGGTTCAAAGTCTTATTTCTACCAACGGGGTATTTCAACATGCAGGATGACAGGGAGAACATTTGTGAACACTAAGATTAGACTTCATCTTTGTCATCAGGCATTTAGAAATACCCCTTTATTCATATAGGTGAACTATGTTTAGTCCTGTGTAACATATAAGGCATATTATTGATGATATCTGGGTGAAATGTATGAAGAACACTGATGCCGGTGTTATTCCTTTAAGTCAATATTTCTAGTCAACTTTTGAACTTTTATTAATATCTAAGGACTTAAATGTGTCTGATTAAATTAGCTTCATATTTAGGGCCATTTTCTCTTTTTATTAGAGATTTGAGCGTCAGATTTCTGTTGCATTTTTCACCCAGGTCTCTCAGGTTCAAGCCGTCTGTTGTCGTGTTTTTGACTGTTGTTTATTTGGCTGCTAATCTCCAATACTAATGGGCAGGCCAAGGAGCTGCCCACCTACAAGGACAACGACTTCATCAACAACGGACAGAAGATCCACATTGATGGGGACAACAAGAAGATGTTCCTGGAGAAACTCAGGAAAGATGTGGAGGTATGTGTTCATCCACATTACAACACACACATTATATTAATAGATTTTCTATTTCCACAACCCCGTCCGTTTTAAACTATTTGCTCTCTTTTCCCTGCTTTAATTCCCTCTGCCATCTTCCCTCGTCCTCAGTTCCTGGCCCAGCTGAAGCTCATGGACTACAGTCTGCTGGTTGGGATCCACGATGTGGAGCGAGCTGAGCAAGAGGACGTGGAGAGCGAAGACAACGAGGCCGACGAGGAGGGCGAGAGTGACGGAGGGGGTGTTGGAACGCCCCCCGACAGCCCCAGCAACACCCTGGACAGCAACAAGCCTCTGTCCCCCGGAGAGTTTGATCCCACCATCGACGTCTACGCCATCAAAAGCAATGACAGTGAGTAGCTGCATGTGTTTCATGGATGTATACGATGTTAAATCCAACCTGTGCAATGTAAAGGACTTATTCAACAGCTTAATAATTTATAGAGTACTGAGAGCTCCCCCTGCTGGACACTTGCTGCTGTCAGAAGGATTTGATCCTTTTTAACAGCACCTGATGACATTCTACAAAAATAAAATAGATTCTCATCCAGAGTGCTTTTTGTTTTAAACCACAGCTGCTCCCAGGAAGGAGGTTTACTTCATGGCTATCATAGATATCCTTCAGCATTACGATGCTAAGAAGAAAGCAGCTCACGCCGCAAAGACTGTCAAACACGGGGTATGTAGCTGCTTACAAGAGGAGATAGTTGTATATTATTGTATAGTATAACAAGATGATTATACTGCATGAGGAGACTAACGGTTGTCTCTGTGTCCCTCTACAGGCCGGAGCGGAGATCTCCACAGTGAACCCAGAGCAGTACTCCAAGAGGTTTCACGATTTCATCACCAATATCCTGTCATAGCCTCCAGGAGTGACGGGGGGCACGGAGGCACATGGGAAAGGGAGGGCAAGGGGGGAGTAGGGCGGGGAAGAGAGGTGACGGAGAGAAAAAGCATCAAGAGGCTGAATTAATAAGGTGCTGTGATGGCTTTGTATCGCTCTCCCTCTCCTCGTCCCTCCCTGCTTCCCCCTCTCCTTCAGTGGCGTGCCACGCTCTGCAGCTATAAAAAGAAAACCATCATTCGTTTACATTTAACCTCTCCTCTGTTGACTTTTGTGTTACTCTTGATAAGGGTGTTTAAAGCAAGCGTCCAAGTCATTACGTTTTTTTTATATTATTTGTTTTTGTCCGTACGGTTGTTTATGTGGGAATTTGGCTTATTTTTTGATTGCCTCTATTACAACATCCAGCTCCCTGCTTTTGTTTTTATGTTTGTTTTTGTCTTCTCAGTATGATAAGTAGGAGGGTATGATGTGTACAGTGCAGAGGTCAGATTACGGCACAAGGCTTGAGCGGGATGTAACGAGGACGGACATGTTGAGCCTCGCCTGATGCAATTGCTTCATTTCAGGAAGTGGGAAGCAGTCTTCCAAAAAGGCCAACAGCCACACCCCCCCCACCCAAACGCTATACTCAGCCAAACAAATCTTCCCATTCGCGTTGATCCTGCATCCCTCGCCCTTTAGACGCCACCCCTCCGTGTAAAGTGAAGGAGTTGATCTTCTGGGTTATCTTCTTTCCACACACTCACAACAAACACATCTCATCAGCTGATTAGTTCACTTGTTGCACCTCAGTGGTTGTCCTTTACGCTTTGTTGTGATGTACGGTGATGAAGAATCGTTTAAGGGAAGGATACGTGCCGTGAAATTAGGAGATTGGAGCATACAAAGTGTTGTTTACTTGCATTCCCCCTGAATATGTCGGGCATTGTTTTCTGTGGCAGGGGATGACCCAGAAGTGTGGCTGAAGAGATTTAAGTCACTCCTTGTTATATCTACATACGGGGTGTCAGATTGAAACATCAACAGCCCTTTACTTTCTGTTGCCATCAGCACCTTATGAGTAAATAAAAAAAGAAATGTTGCACTTTTATTTGTTATTAGAGGTTAGAAGCTCTTGTTCTGTTGCATGCGCTGCAACAAAGAGGACAAACGTGTTAGAAATCCTGATCCCAGATCCCTCCTCCTCCGCCTTTACTCACCTGCTGGTGTTTCTTACTGCAGGGATTGGATGGGAAGACTTAACTGCAATATTAGACGGGAAAGTGGATGAGTTCTTTTCACGGGGCTTTTGTAAAAATGACCTTTTAGAAGCACTCTGTGGGGTTGAGGGATCTGGGATCAGCTACAGTGCGTCTGTGTTCAGGGCAGGCAGGAGACGGTTTACCTCCAGCATCGTACCAGCACACACTCGGTGTGTGTGTGTCAGTGTTCAAAAGTTGTAAAGGGAGAGACAGTGAAATTAGGGGGGAGGTGGGGAAGAGAAGAATGAACAGCGGCAGCATCGTTCTCTCCTCTCACCTCGGCTGGTATTCATCGTTGTTCGTGTTGTTGTTGTTGTTGTTGTTGTTGACATTTTAAAGGTGGTTTAACTGTGTTAGAATTTGGCAGTTTTATGAATTGATGTGGTAATAATTGTTTTGTTTCTGTTTGAGGTTTTTTTTGTATATTTTGCACAAGAGGAAAGGAACCAAATGTTACGAATACGATCCCAATTAGTTGATACGGTCTTAACAAGGGAAATGCAATATACTTGTGTGTAAGTGAGAAAAGTTGTTGTGTGTGTGACGTTGTGTATCACTTTCTGGATAACCAACTAAAAGTCGTCCTTCTTGACTATTGTAACCCATGCAAAAAGCTTCCATCACAATATGTTTGTTTATCATAGAATATATTCACATTTATATTTTTACATTGGATTTTAGTCATGAAATATAGTTGTATTTAAAAAAACAAATAAAAATAAAAATAAGGAGCCACCCTTGGGAATGAATGATGGTGCTGTGGTAAATGAAGAATGATACTGCTTGAATTTATACTCACTATAGATGTAAGAAAAAACCTAAAAAAAATTGCATGTCACAGGACTAAGTTTCCTTCCCCTCTATCTGTGTTGTTCTCTTTGTGTCCCTACACTTTAACCAGATTCGTGAGCGTACAATAGTCCCTACCATGCTTTAAATACCTGTGTTTCATTGTATACACTGTGCAAGATGTGTGCCTTTATACTCCAAAATTATTTAATTTTATATTTTGTAATCTTTTTTTTTTTTAAACAAAGGTAAAAGGTTATTTTAATAATAGGGTGTTTACTTTGACCTGCATTATTTCCAACTTTAATTTCAACCCCCTCGTTCTTCCACTCCAGCACCTCCTGTATTGTTCATATTATTCAGTTTAACAAAACCATCTTATGATTGTGTTTTTTAACCGTCATAAAAGTGAATATCTGTCTTGAATTTTAATATGGTGGATTGGTTTGGATTCTGTAAATTCAAATCTGTCATTGTGATAATTCAGTGTGTGCAGGCGTCTCTACTCTGAGGCGTCTGCTGATATTAACCCCTCGTTCGTTCACGCTGGTCCTGCCTTTATAAAGAGTGTGTGTGTGTGTGGGGGGGAAGTGCATTGTGATGGTGTTTTTGTCGTTCTCTAACTGGCGGCTGCTCAGGAGTCTGTCAGCATGTTCATCGCGTTTACCTTCGTAACCACAGATATCAGGAATGTGATTTTTGTTTTACAAGTTTGTCCATATTTTCACTTCCCTTCGTCGATGTAAAACCCATTTCTGAACCCGGTTTATGTTCTCCTGAGTTCTTGTGTCCCCCACCTGCTTGTTATCAGGGAGGTCATCCGCTGATAGGTCACCCTGAGTCAGTGGTTAATGGATATTTCAGTGTTCTTTCTCTATTAATGGGCTGTTTTGTTTCTATTGTCACGTAGCTCATACTGTACATAGTTTGTGTCATAAAGAAAACAGGAAATGAGGGAAGACTCATCTGCTCCTCGTCTGCTTTGCTCTGTTTGAGGCATAGCTGAGTAGAAAACAGAGCAGTGCATGCTGGGAGAGTGAGTTTTTTTCTGTTTCTGTTTTGGGAATATTAACTCTGGTGATGCCAGACTTTAACAGATGCAAATTTAAAGACGATAATAACAGACTCGCTCTTCTGCTGTACTTTGACATTTAAGGCTTTTGTGACTCACGAATGAGCTCCTTCACCAAACCTGCTGCCACGGTAACCTGCTGCCACGGTAACTTGCCAAAAGCATCTTTCAGCAGTCAGAACTACCCACCATGAGCTTGAAGAACATTGTGTACTGTGTAATGTGTCTGTTTGTCTAAACTGATTTTTTTTTTACATGCACTGGGAGATGGTGCATTCGCTGATATGTGAACATGTCCAAAGTTTTGAGAAACAACCCTGTGTTCATGTGGTGTTCAAGTGTTAAGGGAATTACAAATGCAAATGAGCGGAGGCCAGGCCAGATCTGCAGAGATGGAACATTTCCTGTGGCTTTCTAGGATTAAAACAACAAAAAAAAGTCTTTCTGGACAACAGTTTTGAAATGGATTGAATTTGCATGGAAACATGGCCAGGAAACATCCTGCAGTCGAGCTTCGGTCTCACAAAAGTCCCAAGTTCTTTTAGACTACATCTAAAAGACTTACGCATTAGTGTATGCACGTGTGTATGTGTGAGTGTGTGTTATTGCTGTCTGACAATGGTTGGTGAGAGCTCCCTTTCAGTGGCAGAGGCCAAAATGATGATGTACGTTTATTGTTCTTCACATTTAACGATGATGATGATGATGATAATACACTCCATCCCATAAGCTTCACTCAAACCAATTAAAGCACTTGTTCTGCTTAACTCAAAGTTTACCTCTGATGTTTTTATTATCTGATGTTGATAAGTACCATAGTTGTTGCTTATTTTAAAATGTGTTTATTTTACACTAATGCTCATGGTTTATTTGTGTCACTTTAATTTGGTCAATTTTGAAGCCCTATTTTTATAAGTATTACCCTTGTACAGCAGTTTCCTCCACAGATATATAATGTCCTCTGATATAGAAAACATCCAGCCAACATTTCTAATATAAATACATTTGAAGAACATGGATGCACAAAATACCTGGAAGATGAGAGCAAGTTAGTTGGATCTTCATAATGATCAATCAAAAAACGAAAAAAATATACGTGCCACAAAGGAAATATTTACTAGTTCCTTAATATATAACGTCGCAATCGCTTTAATAGAAATAGTAAAAACACTTAACAAAACACATGCGTTAAACTGCTTCGTGCATAATGTCCGCTAGAAGTGAATATAAAAGCAGTTTTTAAAACAAAGACACAGCTGACTTAAAACATGAGGTAATCCGTTTATGGAAAACTTGAACCTCCGCCTATTTATATATGTATTTATTTATTATGCCTGCCAAACAATGAAGCCTTTGACACGCCAAATGTCAGAAAAAAAACGGGTAGGATAAAAAAAAAAAAAGCATGATTAAATAAACACTAGCCTTCTTCATAACACATTCGTTCATGTTGTTGGCACAAACTGAGCACAATACTTATTATTCAGATTAATCAGAGGCAGTTGAACATCACGAGGAGCGTTTCTGTAAAACCAGTCCAGTTTTAAATATTATTTTTTACATTTTGCGTTCGTTCCTTATGTCTACCAACACACTGCAAGGACTCCCTTTTTTATATAATATAAATAAAGCTAACATTTCATAACATAGTTTATTTTAAAGACACTTTTCACACTTTTTAATTCAGTTTCAGCAAATTAGAATTATATTCTCTAACTGGAGCAAAAGCCTGTCCATTGCTATGTTGCAGAATTGATTAAATGTCTATTCAGTTTTTGGAGGTCGTGCTTTCGATATTTATTTTTATTTATGCCTGAAAAACGCGGAACCTATAGGTTTGGGTGGTTTTATTTCTCTTTATCAATAATGTCCGTATAGCCTATGTATTCACTCATTTGGAAAAATTGAATTACATTGCACATTTAAACAATAGGCTCCAACAAGCGATATCTTTAAGGATATAGCCTAATAATAGCCTACATATCAGATGTTTAAGGAAGAAAGGAGGAGGGGGGGTTGGCAGCTGCAGCCGGACTAGTTTAGGTCTCAGAGGCGGAGGCTAATTTACACCGTCAGTAGGCCTACAAAGTGGAGAACAAGCAGACCACAGACAAAGAGCGGCCCGCCATGTGCGCTGCAGCTGCCACACACACACACACACACACGCACGCGCACACACACACACACACGCACACACAGAGCTCAGACGCAGTGAGGCTCCACGGCCGCCAGGGGGCAGTGTGAGCTCTGCAGAAATACAACTTCACCGTACATTTTATGTTTGCATTTAAAAACTACATATGAGGTAGACATGCCTCTCTGTGATTGGAGCAAGAGATTAAATCCACATAATATTATGCTGCCTGCTGAAGTGTCTTTGAGCAACACACTAATGCACCTCAATTGTTGCTGCTCTGCTGTACCTGACCTTTGACCTCTCTATTGAGTGCCGTTTTTTAATGCCACTCCATGAAATGTCCTTTATTTTATCTTTAGTCTCTATTACACAACATATAGTGACAACATGAGTTGTCTATAGCATATCTTAATATAATTTGTATAAGGGAGTATAGGCTACTTCAATATATGTTGTTAGTCGACTCCACCTCGAGCGATATAATTACTAACAAAGTACTGCTAACAGAGCACTTATATACTAATAAAGGACTAGCATATCTATAGCCAGTTGAGTAGCACTTGAAATGTTTGGCTCTATGAAACCTGATATACTTATATGATTCTGTTTTCTTCAAGGTTGTATCTTCCTGGTCGAATGTACTTATTGTAAGTCGCTTTGGATAAAAGCGTCAGCTAAATGCAATGTAATGTAGTATTACACTGGTCCTGTAAATATGTTTAAATTCTACAATACATTTCTAATAATTTTCTATTACTCAAAATCTCCCCTTTTTGTTTGTGTTGCATGAATTTGCAAGTCATTTTGTATCTTCATTTAGATGAGTAAATTTAAATCATAGCACCAAGTCAAAAGTAATGTGTTGACCTACAGCCTGTGAACAGCTGGTAAA